GGTGGGCGCCGGCCGGCTCCGGCCGCTACAGCTGTCGCTCGCGGGCCGCCGAGCTGACGTGGCCGGCCGCGCCGGTCCAGCAAGGCACCGCGCTCCGGCATCACCGCACCGCAGGAGCCGGCTCACCGCAGCAGCTCATAGCAGGCTTCACTTGGCGGATTAGTATTCAAATCGGGCAACAGAAAACCTAAGCCCCGGCTTAACCACAAGCACCCCTTTCATAAAGTTTCTATTAACTCGACCAAATGGCAATGTTGTGGAGCTAAACAATACGGTTGGTGATAAGCTGAGAGTACTAGTCAAGTACCAGTCATGAGCCAAATTGATGGCACATCAGCAAAATATTGAGGACCGATCCTGAATTCTGGAGCCTGTTGCCAAGAGCTGATTTACGACCTGAATTTTCGTACTAGCACTCCACAGTTATCGCGGGTTTGAGAGACAATTTTCTGCCTAATCACTGTGAATTCTCTAAGCCGGTAACATTAGCCCAGATTTGTAAGGTCCACCACATTCCAGCTGATAGACGCCCAACTATGGAAGACTGAATAACTTGACACCCGACTAACGTAAACAAATCAAACTCCCGACGGCGTTCGCCAGGAGGTCGGTCTCGCCACTGAATTCGGGCGGGCGCACGGCAGCTTCCAGAACATTCGCGGGCCTGATAAGAAGGGATAAAGAGCAGGGGTCAGTGAGTATTCCGATGAACCACTGCCGAGTCCGCGCGGCCTTGGAAGCGCGATAAAAAGCGGTGCGACTCCTTTGGGGTACGCCCTCTGGCGCTGCATCGCGGGCGGCCGGGCGCACTGACCACCGGTCCATGTTAGGCAGTGTACGCGCGGTGCCCCTCCCCTCCTCCCTCCTGGCTGGCCGCGCTGTCGAGCCCCGTCTCCGGCCCGGTTGAGCTATAATTAGCCGACAGTGATGGCCCGCTGGAGAGGTGGCCGCGCGCGCCGGCAGCTCCGGTGCCCCCGGGTCGCGCTCACTCCCACCCCGACCTGTCGCGCCCGGAGGGTGGACAGGCCGGCGATCTGTTGTACCCGTTGTGTCCTGCCCGCGGCCCGTCCGCAGATCGATAACCGGCCGGCCAGCAGCACTGATGGCGTCTCCGGCCGACCGCGAGCTGCCGGAAGGTGCAGGCCCGCTCCCGCCGCCCGAGGAGCCGCCCGGGCGCACCCGCACCGAGCCCGACCAATGACCTCACCTCACCTCACGGCGCCGCGCCGTACGTCCCAGTCGGCGGTCAGTGGTGTCAGGAAGATGACTCTGCATTGGGGCGATGGGACAAAACGAGCTACTTAAAACGGTTTTAAAGGCAGGGATTATAACATTCAAAATTAACTGGGTAAACATTGGCTGCAACTCGTGCGACATTATTAAAGAAAATTATTGCTTGAAAATTACAGGGAATTAACAAAAAAAAAACGCACGGTTTACTTCAGGGGTCTCCGCCGATTGGCAGGGGGCATAGAAAATAACAGTTCTCACCTCCCACTTCGTCCCACTTCCTACTCGCAAAAGGCTTAGATCTAAATTTGCAGGAAGGACAGATACATCGTTTCAACAATTAGGGCTCAGGGCTGGAACCTCAGACATGCAGAGGAAAAAAATAACTAAAGCTGTGTAGGCAAATAATGATTATACAGATCGTGAACACTCTTAACAAATTGCAACTGCTATCTGTATCAAATTTCGAAAGAAAAATCACTAACGTGTTTCACAGCAGCCAATTTAACATACGATGACAAAAACATTTGACAGTTTTAATCGACTGTTCATGAAAAAACTGACGCACATCTAGAAGCGGGGAGGAACTGGGCTCGTAATAGCCACCTGTGGAGGGTTTCCAGTATAAATACAATGCAATGACAATGACTTTTGACGTCCCCTTTCCCCTCATTTCTTGGTCATTTTACCGGAAACGGGCCTTCGAACGACTTTCGAGATGCCATCAAAAATGATTAAGACAGCACTTATAACTCTTAGTTCGGGTCAAACGTCTGCTCAACGAAGGCACGTGCATGCAGGCACCGAGGCACGTCAACAAGAGCGTGCATTTTCCCAAAGCGTGAGACGTTATGTCCAATCGTGACACATCAACGCACCGGGAGGGGCGTGTATACGCCCTTCCCAATAACCCAACTCTGACCACTTAGCCAAACGGCGTTCAAGAGCTCGTCAAAGCTGAATAAGAAGACGAGTCGATAAAATTAAATTGGGAATTAAATAATATTTACCAAGAACTCAATTTCTTTACCTCGGATGCTTCATAGGTCATCTTAGTTCAGGTAGGTCATGTTAGCCTACCATTCTAAGGTAATAGGGTAAATATAGAAACTGTTTCATTTAGCGCCAGAAATAATAATTCAAAACGATCTTAAGCACATGGTACCGTGATTTCATACCTATCTGGCAAGATCCAATCCTTAGACATTGCATTTGGAGCCTTGTGTGGTCAATATAAGGTCGTTTGTGGCCAATGTAGTTTCTTGTCAATACCTACCTCCTGGTCCATGAGTGCAAGAGTTGGAACTGGGGAAAGGCACTAACAAACTCAGAGTGAGCTGCCCAATCGGATAATGTCCTAGATCATTAGATGACCCTCCTTGGCCAACTCGCATGTTTATTGGCATGGTCAGCCTCGACCTGACCTTGACCTTGGGACGATCAACGATGTAACACCAAAGATCTTCCCCGAACGAAAAAGGCATTTTTCGACACGGCTGATCAGGAGAGCACGATGGCGCAAAATCGCAGCTCCGTGACCATTTTTGGTGACGTTTATTTAGCAAAAGGCAGACACCAAACTTGGGATCGATGATCTAACCTTGAGGTCACCAGTTGATCGAAGCCTTAACCCTCGCCGGCACAGGGGGTTGATGCAACCCCCCCCCCCTAAGGTTTTTTCGCGAATAACTCGCGTAAAAAGCGGCCGATCGCGACGAAACTTTCAGTACCCGCGCATTGATCATTGATCAATTTTACACCCACCCTGAAAATTTCGTGACCCTGACCCCAATGCCTTTGACCTGTGACCTCTTTTCCGTGACCATGTTTGGTCGAAATCGCGATTCCGCGTATGTCGGCTCGCATTAGCCGCGCGTTTGCAAGCTTTTCGTGGTTTCAAACGTTCAAACATGTGATTTGATGTTGCTCACATGCATTAGGGTGGGTGTCAAGGTCACCTGAAGGTCAGGTCAGGTCACTGAACTTTGGTGACATCGGTTCACTTTTTCGAGTTTTACATGTTTCTAGGCTAGTTTTTGGAGCTGAATTCGAATTTAGCAACCATTTGAACATTTACGAAGTAGTTTTGGTGCTTCGTAACATGTTACGAAGCTGTCAGAGGCGGATGACAGGTACTTCGAATACCCGTCACGACCCCGACCGGTTGACCTAACCTGACCTGACCTGGCCTGACCCGACCTGGTCTAAGCGCTTAACGACATCATCTGTGATCAAAACTAACACGATATTCGTGATCAGCACCCCGGAAAACCCCTTAGCAGCCACGCTTTACGACTTTTTAACAGGTCCCGATAATCCCGATTTTTGGGTCATTGACCTGACCTGAAAGGTCACCCGATGACCTAGGACCTTAAAATTGGGTATCATTGGCTTCCTCTCGTGACGGGCAACACGCTCGTTTTTTCCGCGCAGCTCTAGCTCCATCAGGGGCCAAACGCGAGGGGAGGGGGTCGTACCAACCCCCCCCCCCTTGTGCCGTCGAAGGACTCAAAATGGCCTGTGCCGGCGAGGGTTAAAATTGGGTAGCAGTCACTGCGTCTCGTAAGAGGAGTCCCTAAGAAGAGAGCAGTCGAGAGAAGAGCTGCCACCGCTGGCAGGAGCCAATTACAGCGACAGACTTCCGCTAGCCCCGCTAGGGCGGCACGCCGTGCTAATGCGGATCCCTTCCCGCGCCGAAGACAAGCCCCAGTTAGCCCACCGGCCCATCTCTGTCTCTGGGCGCAGCCAGCACAGTGGTCGTGCAATGCCAGCCGGCAGGAAAACGGTCGGCGCTGTGAGCCGTTTTACAAATCCGACTAGAGACGTCTCACTATCAGATGACAGGTACCAAAACAGGACATACGAAAAGGACACGCTCACTCATAGGAAAGTCTATGGCTTTACAAGATGGTTCAGTTGTTAACTGATGAAATATACGAAAGTAGTTTGGCAAGACTTCCGAAGGATACGTAACGATAACGATGTTTCAAAATGGAGATTATTAAAATGTATATCAAGCAAAATCGATAAAATAAGGGTGGTTTCCAGCTATAGCCTAAAAGTTATCGCTTAAGCTATAATTTTATAGTTATGCTTATACTTTCCCAAAATGTCACTACCAATGTTTTGTCTCGAATGCAAAACATTGCGGGGCTATGAACAAGGTTTTCCTGTCATTTTTAATATCACTTTAGAGAAAAGGGAAAAACATTTAACACACTTTCTGACATAGGTAGGTATTAGGTAAGCATGCCGAATGTTCCCTATTCACATTGTAACTTTGTCTTAGCGAGACCGCAAATCATGCCCTGAAACATCGTGCATAACCGCACGACGCATGGAAACTCGATATCTATTGGACTACGGTTTTATGAACTCGTATTCAACTGGACATATTAACAGACCGTAAGCAAGCTAATGAAAAGTCAAGCCCGTCTGCTAAACGAAAAGTACTATGCATGAAATGAAGCGCAACCCGCACATCCAGCCTATCAGACCACGCGCATGCAGCGATGCGGTAGTAATTGGAGCGACATTTTTTTATTTACGATGTCCTTAATGACACTGGGAACATCTTCAGTCGGATAGAAAGAATAATAAGTCATTTTTGGGCATATCTAGCATTAAAAAATGCTATTGTTTCATTGCTAGTAGCACTATCTAGTGCTGCGATAACACATACCAACCACGCAACACGAAAATATCACTGGACGACAGGGAGTCATGGACCCTCACACCCAGCTAAACAGAAGGCTGCTATAGGTACTTACTCTGATGCTTGTCAGCTAATGAGATGAGGGATGAGGAGATATCTCTCCTCCGATAGAAGCACATCACTTTGGCTTCCACATTGCCATTTAAAGTCTGAAAAACAAAAACGGTGTTAGACATGTGGTGTTCATCTAGGTTGTGAAAAGCACTGCATATATTTTGACAATACACCAATAAGCAATGTATATCACCAAGCAAACACCTGTTACAAAGAGGAAAATAGATAGCAATGTTGCCCCTCTCGTGGAATACAGCAGCGGACTCACGAAACCGGGTTCGAGTCGTTTCGGTACTCGATGTACGAGAGCACTTGACGGGGATGGTCAGCGGTTGGTGGTAGCAGTCGCAGCCATCTGATGCTACCAAGTGGTACCGACATTGTACATCGACACGGGAACGCTAGTGGTCGTTGCAGAACTTCTCCCGATCATTCAGAATGAGCTAATTTGATTAGGAGATTGCAGGTCATCAAAAGGAAGATAAGCGGACCCACACAAGACACAGTCCATTCCACTCGACGGGGGACTGGCTGCAGCTGCTCCTACCAACCACAGACCATCCCTTTACGGAGTCATATTATGGCAAGCGACTTGAACCTAGGCTCTCACCACCAAGAGCACAGCACCCTACCAAGTGAGCTACCACAAATCGGCTCTGATACTGTAGAACAGTACACAATATGCTCATACCATTCACAGTTCACATACCTGTCTATTGATATCGCATTGCAAGTATGACAATTTGAGGTGCAGATACATTACCATGTACCAATACTGACCTTATTCAATTCTTCAATCCTACGTATCTGGTAGGGTGAGGTGGAGGATGTCTCAAAAAAGACATAGTCTGAAAAAGAAAACAAAATCGTTACTTTGGGTCAACACATGATCACTGAAATGATCAGGATACACTAGAACCAGACACATGCACCAAAGGTAAGCATCAGCTCTGCATCACTTAAAAACTTAGGTTTTCTCATATCTGAGGTTATAAGTATGTGATACCTGAAATTCCTCCACAAACATTATGATGTCCTTCCAATCTTACACTGAACAAGCTAGATGACCAGAATATGTGAAGGGCCAACAATGGTCATAACTACTTGGGATAAACTAGAATGTATCTGTTATGAACACAGCAAATGATAAACAATGCCTATCAGGCATGGATCTGGTCCCAACATATGACTTTGATGTTCCAAGCCAGTTTCTGGAAACATCATTCAAAGACCAGGAAACATTTGAAAGTCAAAATGCACTCAGTCACACCATTCAATTTATTTGTTCAATACAAAAGTTTGAAGACATTAGTGTATTACAAGCAAGCCGTCCCCTTTCAAACACCTTAATACCTACTTGGATTCCTCTTCTACAGGCACCCTAGCAAAAGCTCACTTGGCTGGATAGAAATGATTTGCAGATGCATAATGCATGGGTACTCTAACATATTCTGGACCAATAGTTAAATCTTTCACACAAAAATCGATTAATCCAAAGCAATGTGATATGCTGAGAAGGACAGCACATGATATGATCACAGCTTAATTCATGGGCAGCATTTACTGCTGCATTCACTGCTGATCAATGTCAATCAAAAGTATGGCGTAACAATACAAATAAATTTATATCTATTAGATATCATTTCAAAAAACATATAAGGTTGTTCCAGTTTTTTCTTACTATTACATGTCTTTTAATGAAAGGTTGCACATGCAAGAGCATCTATCAAGCAATGATAACATACGACCATAAGCTGAAACAGCTTCAATAACATTAGTTTTTTCTCATGGAGCTGTGATCCATCATACAAAAAGCCTTTCTGCAGCTTGTTCTAAATTGTCAATGAATTTTAGGGCAACTATGCTCCAATGACAAATTTGAGTTGCCCATTTCAGTAAAGTATTTTGAAGTGATCACATGACGGAGGCAGTTGATCTACAAAAACAAGGCAGGATCAAAAAAGGCACATTTTTGGCTCATACTCCAAGTTGAGGTGATGGGATTAGTTGTACATGCAGACTGTAGAGAAAATATGAAATAAAAATCATCGTCAAATACCTTAAATACCCAAAAAATCTTACCAAAATTGAAATAATTCAAATAAAAACAATCCGCGCCACAAACGTCTCAATGCAATTAAACTTGTTGCAATGACTCTCATTTCAACAAAATGACAAGATAGCATGCATGGAATCACCCTTCTTGATATGTTTTTGTGTTGGACATCCAAAAATTCTCATTAATTGACCAAATATCATCCATTTACTGGCGACCGGCTTAACCGCCAACCCACGCTCCTTGCAGAACAAACAATAAGCCCACAATTCAACTTACCTCCAACCCTATACATATTCGCAGCCATTGCATCTAGATCACTACACGGAAGAACAACACTTAACACACATATTCAGTCCATTTTTTGTATCCACCATACGCCGCAAGTCCGCGATACACCGTAATTAATATGGATCACAGCATCCGTAACACCAGCAACTTCGCCATTTTCTGTGTTTCCTTCTCATTTACAAAACTCCGTGACGTCACGAGGCCCCAGGCGATCATCGGGCGGACGGCAGGAACGGGTGACGAGGCTAATTAGTGGACAACAAACTGCACTGGTTTCCAGCCTTTCCGAGCTGTGCACTCCGCACCGCGCGAATCCTCCCGTGACAACTCTCCCGCTGTGAGAAACCAACGGCCATTTTACGACACCGTGCGTAACGGCAATCAGCCATGCAATTGAATCCAGGTGGCGCCCCCTTACAACTGGGTTGAAGAGACCAAGGAGCTCGCGTTGTACTGATGTATTCGCGATCATGTGAATATTTACATATATTCAAGTACAAAACATGTTCGTGGAGACTTGCACTATGAATATCTGGTAGCAAAATAAATACGAAATGTCATTTATCTATTTGTTTGATGTTCTAGTTTACGACGTTCCATTGGCACAGGTGCTTATAAATCGAGCATTACTCGGAGGAAGTACAATACGCCAACAAATTCGCTAAGGCACTGGAGACGGCGGGTGCAGTAGGCACCAGCAGTGGGGCGGCATCTGTTGGTCCGAGGTGATCCAGCGCGCAACGAACTCGACAACGCAGTGGCAGCAAGCTCGAACGCCGGGATGACGAACAGATGAGAAACAATAACACATCTCTAACCGAATGCGACACTTGTCATCAGCATGAGTCACGCACCAATTGCAGCGCGACAACAACATTTCATCGAAACAAAACAACACACTGAACAACACATCGTAGGCGCCGCAAGTTCATGAAACAACAAAACATAAAACTGATTCTATCAAAACCGGGAGCCGTGCCCGGCCGGGCGGTCGACCGATGCGACGCGGGGGCCACTGGCCGGCCCCATGGTGCGATTGTCCAGACATATCACATACGGAGGCATTAGCTGAGATCTTGACGAGCCGGAGTGAAGAGACGAGAGCGCCGAGAGCCGGCGGACGGAGTCGACCGCAGCGCCGCCTGGCGGAGCACGGTGCACGCATGCGCAGAGCGTGCCGGCTGGCCGGGCCGCAGGACGGACGGCAACACCAGCGGAGAGCAGACTGGCGTCCAGCTCAGGTCCCGAGAGCCCGCCACCCACCACGGAACGGGCCCCAAGATCACAGGCAGCAACGAAGGAAGAAATTATGCCGAGACTGAGCGAGAAAACCATATTGCCTTCCAGATTCTAATATACACTCATTCACGCCAATCTCCCTCTCACTTTCTCGCTTTGTGAAGTGTTGCTCTGGGACCAGCCGAGTCTTCCAAACCCTCTCCAACAGACCAACAAACGTAGGGCGCGCCGCGCGGCGGCGCTCCTCTCCAGCACCAAGATGGCCTCCGCGGCGAGGTTGGAAGGTTCGGCGGCCGGTCGGCGCGGAGGGGCCGGTCGGCCGCACAGCGGAACAGACGCCACCGACTGCTACCTGCGCGACAGGTTCAGCGGCGCGTCTGAAACAAACGGGCAGAAGGAGTCAGACGCTGGGACTCGTCATCACGACTAATGGATGCAGCTGGCAGCACCAGCGACTTTTTGGATTTTGACAGAATTTTCGTTTAGTCATCGGTACCTACCCAATACGGGAAAGAAAATCATCCCTCATAAAATGGTACGTGAGGTTAGGATGCGAAAATAAAATCATACATCAGATGAAAAAAATGCGTTTCTATCACTGGCCTACCAACTATTCCGTCCCCGCCCCTGCCCAGCTCAGCTGCACGCCGCCTCACCTTGTTCGGGCTGTAGCGCGGCGGCAACCACCGGACTGTGGAGACTGGCCTGGTGGGCGGGACTCGGCAGCTGATGGCGCGGCGCCGCCGACCGCGGCGGCGGCGGGGGCGGCGGCGGCGGGCTGGCCGGCCGCGCCAGCAGAGGCGCCGGCCGGTGTACCGTCGGGTGGCTGAGCTGCGAGTAGAGCAGTGGCGAGACCAGCGGGTAGGCCGGGTAGGCGGCCGGTAGCGGCGGCGCCGCCGGCACCAGGTGCTCCAGGCCGCGGAACGCCGACACCGCCTGCAGGTACTGCATGTACCGCGACTGGTGGCACGCCAGCGGCGAGAACGCGCCGGACGCTGACACAGAGTGCGGCGGCGGCGCGGAGGAAGGTGCCGAGACCGGCGGCGGCGGAGCGGGCGGCTCGCTGGCTGGGGGCGGCGCGGGCGGCGCGGGCGGCGGCCGGGGTGACGGGCGGGCCGGGCTCCGTGCGCTCGGCGCCGCCAGCAGTGAGTCTATTGAGTAGGCCGAGCAGGGCGCCGTGCCGCGCCCGTTTCGTTGCGGCGGTTCCCGCGGCTCGGAGGCCGCCGGACTGACCGCCACAGTCGGCGCCGCCGCCGCGCCGGGGAGAGTCCCTGGCGAGCTCAGGCCCGCGCCGGCCGCGCTAGAGGAGGTCGACGGGCCGGGGGACGGTCGCGTCGAGCGCGCGGCGCCCGTCTCCCGGCCAGCGTGCGGCCGTTTCCTGGGGGACGTCTGCCAGGCGGACGGACCCGCCTTTCCGGTCCGGATTCGTACCGTCTGCGTGGGCCGCACGACGGGCCGGCGCCGCCGGTCGGCCAGCCGGCCCACCAGCGACTCGAGCGTGGCGGCGCGGCCGGCCGCCGGCAGGGGGCTCTGCTTCCTCCGCGGTCGGCGCTCGGCCACCGGCAGCGGCGACAGCGGCGGCGGCCGGAACGCTGCCAGTGTGGGCTTCCTGCTGAGGCGCCGCAACCGGGCGCGGGCGGCCGCCGCCTGCCAGAGCGCCAGCGCCGGCGGACAGCCGAGCTGCTGCAGGGTGCCGCCCGAGCTGGACCGTCGCCGCGGAGCCCCCTGTTTCCGCCGGTACGGGTCCACCGGCCACGGAGACGACTGGACCGATGAGCAGTCGTCTGCGGAAACAGCCAGACTCGTGTCAGAGGGCACCTCTGCTACTCAGATAGCATTCAACAGGTGACTCAGTGCCGAGCTATGCGGCATCATATGCATGATTGTTCGCACGAGCGAGCCGCAGCACATCTGCGCTAAACAGGAAATAACTTATTCTGAAATGAAAAACAAAAATGGATAGCTACACATGTAAAGAATGCATTCTAAAACAAAATCCAGTGGAGGTACAACTTGATAGCGCACAGAGTTGAGGAGGGGTCTACAAACAACATAGCAAGAGAGGCGAGCTAAACTGCAGCAGTGTCCCCATCCCGAGCCAGTGAGCTGTGGGCCACCTCGCCCATCCACACGAAAGCCACAGACGTGGTGAGCTCTGTACGTACCACTAAAGGAGGCCACCTGTTCCATGCGCGCGTTGACCGTGGGCGGCGTCCAGTAGGTTTTCCTGGCCACGGCCACCCAGCGCTTCTCGAACGTGTCGGAACTGTGCGACAGCTCCAGCACGACACGGCCGTCTGTAACGCAGACCGGACGGAGGTAGATACCAGCGGGGACCCCACACACAGATACGGCGCCATTGGTAAGGGCTGGGGAAACGCCGACAGAGGACGGTGGACATGCCCCCCCCCCCCCACACACACACACGACTTCGATGTAAAACGGCAGCCGTGCTTAATGACAGGATGACATGGTCGGGACCGGGCATATTGTGGCAACAACAAAGCATTTACACTTGGTAGCTGTTCAGTGTCAATGAAAAAATGCGTAAAAAATATCTACTTGAGCGCATAAATGAGCAGACCTACAAAGAAATTTACGCAGGCATACACAATAGCAAGTCACATCACAAACACAATTCCAGCTTCACGCCAACCTATCCCAAACGATCATCACTTTCGGATCGCATTCCATCAGGTACCACTGCACAGCCATCTGCGGTTTAAAACCGCACGAGCTGAACACATGGACGGACATTGGCACACGCGAGTTGCACTGAAACTTCCATTCTATTGTGGACGCGGGCAGCGACTACCCAAAAATCGAGACAATACCACTGAACTCGTCAGCAGTGGCATCAATAACGCCCATCAATTGCGAGCATGCAGCTGTCCGGGACCCACTGGAAAGTCCATCACCGGTGCTTAGAGTCAGAATGTGCCTGTGCCCGATCGTCTCCTTCGGAGGAGCTTATGTAATATTTTTGCGAAGGAATTGTGTTTACTCTTCAATGGAATGTGACGGATAAACAGAGATCTCAGTCTACCTCACCAAAAACCTTGGTCTCCAATGCGGTTCATGATCATTTGCAGTGCAGACAGATCAGAAATATTTCCAGATAAGATATCCAATAAGATAAGCCAGTCTGACCCTGTCGCTGAGGCCGAGCATACATCTGTTCTTCACTTTCAACGAAGGAAGGACTCGGCCCAGGCCAATGGATAATTGGGTAGTTTTACCGAGCGGCCACAAACAGTGGGTTTCTGAAGCGTCAGTCACATAACCGAGGAATGCATTAAGCGAGCCACAACATGCAAGCCAGTCTTTAACAGCATATACCAGCAATACGCCACGAATGGTTGTATTGCATCGCAACTAGCATTAAATGCTCGCGAATCAATTTCGTTGAAATTGTCACTGGCCTGGGATATCTTCATCAGACAATTCCAGCACAATTAGCTTTTCCTGTCGTGCTATAGCCATCTGAGCAGCGAGCGGCCACTGAGCGTTGTCTGGCGACCTGTCGCGTCGGCGGTGGGCCGCAGATCTGATCGATGCGAGTCTCGCACGCCACGGGTGGGATGTGTCCAGCACGCGCCCCCAAATTGACGGCCAGCACGTGAGGACTGAGGCCACGGCCGACCGGACGACCGGCCGGCCGGCCATCGCCGAGACCGAGCGAGGTGGCAGCTACAGACGGGCCGATACAACGGCTGGGATAGCGCACCAAACAGCAGGAAACATCTACCCGAAAACCGGGAGTGGGCAGTTGTCGGAACGAAGCTATATGGGCAGTCATTTGCACCCGGACAAACTAGGGTAACGGAAACGCACTATCATTATGCCGATGTTTGATATGTCTTGTGCAAGGCTGCACTTTTGAAAGCGAAAATATGCGAGGATGGTATATTTAATTGCTGCATTGGCATAGAAAAATTAACCAGCATCCCGTGCAAATAAAACACCAGCAAAATAGTTATTGCAATAGTTTTGGACAAGGTAACGAAATAAGCTTCTCCATAAGACTAAGCAGCCAAAATATAGCTGTCCAACCATAAGATTACTTCATGTACGTCTTTCGGACAATCCCTCAACCATTACGCACAGCAATATACCGGGTGGCCCAGAAAAAACGTTCCCAACTTTAAATCAATATTTCTCAGAAAGTAATGTAAATACAACATTGAAACTTCCAATAGTCAATGCGGCATATATTTTCAGTAAATGGTATGATTTTCATGTTATTCGGTCAATTACTTTTTAAACGGTTTGTGTTTCTAGCATGCCATGTAAAAATTACTTTTTTGCTTAGATGCTTACTAAAAAATGTGAGTGAACGGGTCACTTCCGTATCGTCTCCATGGCCTGCTGCCATGACTGCTACTGGCATCTAGTCTCATTGATTGTTCAGGTCTCAGGGTGACACATTCCATCTAGCTTTTTTCGTTATTCGGTCAATTTACTGTTTGATCTTCTTGAAGGGAGGGCGGTCAGCAGTAACCCATGCACCGTGCCACTCCTCGAAATAGCACTTAGTGTTGAAACGAATGTCATCCAGTAACATCATTTTGGCTAAGTATTTGAATATTTGGCATATAAGTGGGACAAAATATTTAAAATAGCATCACACGTATTGGTTTCATTCACGTGTTCTATTTTTCTATTTCTTTCTAACATGGTAGGTACGTCTAAGCCAATCATCATTACCGTTCAACATCGGCAAAAAAGCAAAAACGTCTTACTTAATTCAACATAAGATTGCTGGCTTGAAAATGATAGTACAGTGTTATAATTTGGCATACCAAAGCGCAAAGAAGTGACGCAAACTTGATGAAAATTTTGGCGCGTTATTTGCACTCGAATTAGAGATATAGGCCTCCAAAGTTCGGAACGTTTTTTGGGCCACCCGGTATAAGCTGAAACATCCTTTTATAAACTCAAGGCGATCATTTCCATGACCAGAAGCAGCCAGAAATGCTGAGTGTGCGTGTGTATGGAGAGTCGCCGTCGGACACTCGACCCGCGGTCGCACCTTTTCCGAAGAACTTGAGCCGTCCGCCGTGCTCGGCCCGGTGGTCGGGCTCGGAGAGCGGCGGTGACATGGTGGTGGAGGGTGCCGGCGAGAGTACGGCCGGCGGCGGCGGCAGCTGCGTCAGCCCGTCGGCGGCCATCGTCTCCACCGGGGCGCACACGGCGCGCTCCTCCTTCATCATGTACGCGACGGCATCACCTGCGGAGGCGCCGGGGCGGGGGGCGGTCAGAAAACTAAGGAGATATGGGACAGGGACAGGATGGGTCAGGGACATGAGGAGACGCAACAAAGGGGTGGGCCATCCTGGGACAGACAGGCGCAGGGCGGAGCGGGGCAGGTCAGACAGAATCGGTTGGGGCTGGGGAGACAGGAAATGGGAAGGGCCAGACAGGGTCAGAGGTTTGAAGACCAGAGGGCAAGGGTCAGGGCTATTCAAACAGGGGATAAGACCTGGACGGACATTGACCGGGCGGGGTGGATCCGTCACGGGCGGACGGGGTAGCGGATTAGGGCCAGGTTTAACCAGAAAAAGGTTCAGTAGATGAGACAGAGTTGGTCGGAGTCAGTCCCCACTGGCAGAAAGGCAATGGGCCTGAAGTTGGTGAGAGGAAGTTGACTGGAGCGAATTCAACAGCGTGGAAGGATTCAGCTGGAACTGGCAGGACAGCAAGAGATTGGCAAGGCTGGATGGGCTTGGCCAGAGCAACAGAGTGGCAAAGCCTATAGGCACTACATAGGATGGCATGTGATGCAAGTGCTGTACGGCAGCATCTATCAACATTGTGTGTTTGGTTGAGCATATGACCAAGGAAGGCAGAACATACAGTATACTACTACAGTACATACTACATGAGAGTACTGGCATTCTTATATATTCCATTAAAAACAACCTAGGTTTATCATTATTTGGATGTCATGGTCACGGATGTGTTCAAATATGCCATGCCCATGGTCTCTTCCATTATATATCCACTGCACACAAGCATGGAAGTAGGCATTGTGTGTGAGAATGGAAGAGTTGCAGCAATGGTGAGGGTCTAGCTGGCTAAGGAGTAGAAAGGGTTATATACAGTGGGGTAGAGAAGACCATTGTGAGGCGATGTGCAAGTGACACACCAGCAACAACACATCAACTGAACAGTAAACAACTGAAAAAACACAGCAAATCCAGGATCGCACACACTTTATTGAGGTAATTGGGGTTAAAGGTCCACACAACAATTACAATAAGGAGGTGGATTGAGAGCTCAATTTTACAAAATATCAGCTATATAGAAATTAGAAACACCATGTAACCCACAGGTTCACAAAATTCACAACTCCCATATTGTATAGGTAGGTACTTTATACCTACAAAGAAAATATTTCCTAAGATGGAAAATATCTGTTATCTGAAACACTTGACTGTTCAATAATTCAGCACCCACTGGATTAACTTGCTTGAAGATTTCTGCAAACTGAATATTGCAACATATATTGAGCCCTAATAAACTTAAAATCATTCCTTGATGACTAGCTCTAGCAATGATTAGTGGCTGCTAGCATAACAGCCAAAATGGGCTGGCAATTAATGTAGTTGGATAAAGTAGTGTGAAGTTCAATAAAGTACAAAACAAATAGTAAATCATATTCAACTCTTTAAACTAAATAGCAGATGCCTCATGAAGCTCCTTTATGCCTTCTGAAAAAACACAACAGGTGAGAATACAGTGCTCTGTTTGGAGCAAGAAAAACACTCATCACAGTAGTGTTATGTTGTGGGCAGAAAACATCAACTCAATTCTTATCACCTATCCATGCTTTCCCTTTTACAGCATTGTTCTGTACAAATCTCTGTATATCCACCTGTTGCAAATTGAGCCTGATATGTGACAAATCAACAGGTATCACCTGTAGGCACACATTTACTGATGAAACAGATTCATGCAAAAGCCATAAAGTTGAGCTGGCATAATCCTCTCATATCACAAGGAGAAATGGCAAACCCTATTTATAACTTCAGCTTAAATGTTTGAATGGACGGATTTGCAGAGCCAACAAGCCCTGCTAAGCAGAGCTTGTTGGATAGATCTCGACCTAGACTGTATGATTGCCGGATTCTGGGTAACAAGAGACTTTTGATGTCAAAGTTGTATGTGCCCTTCAAAGCTCGACTCGGTCCGTCCCACTCCACTGAGGTCTTAACTTTTAAGGCAGGAACAGAACATTTAGAGTTCAGGAAAACAAATGCAAGCTTTCCCAATACATAAGCTCTTGCTCTTAGGCAGGCAATACTTGCACAGCATGCAGTCTGTTTCAGCAGTTACTAAAACCAAGTGCTCCTTGTAATATGAATCATCATCATGGCAATTACTATGTATGACCAAAATTATCATTTTGGTTTGGATTATAAAAAGAGGCAATCAATTCAGTATAACAAAAATAACTGAAAACATGCCATACAGAAGAGAGCATGCTTGGGTAGCAGCATATTTACTGTTACTATTCCTTGTTTGGGGTGTACCTACTTGCTAAACAAATAACTTAATGCACTTAATATTCACATAGCTACATTCTCTATTCATCCAAAAATTTAGCCACAAAAAGACTGATAAAATTAACTGTAAAACATGTTTATTTATAAACGCTGGTCAGCAAACCAATATCTATTGCCCACCCTCCTCCGGCATAACAGTTGCTGATTATACAGGATATGTTACCTTGACTATTAATAAAATTATTTCCATAAGTGAGGGCAAAGGTTAACCTCGCAGCATGACACAAATCATTCATTTTCTAACAATGACGAGATTCAGCATTGGCCATCACCACAAATACCTTAAAAGGAAGCTATTTACGACAATTTTTGATGACACGATAGTTTACGATGAGAAAAGGCATACAGTAAGAAAAACTAAATAATATGCTGTTATAAATATAGTTGTCTTCCCACAAAATCGACACCGACACAAAAATAATACAATTATAACGCAGGCGCAACGCCCGAGTCCGGGCACAACTCTCCGGATTTACACTATCTTACGTGAAGCTGATGAGTTATCCATGATGAAAATTCATTGTTTAACAGCTTCGAGATATTGACAACAACACTTACATGAAAAGAAAAGAAATAAACGCCAAATATACCGTCCCAAACAAACAGCCAGGCACCCTGGTCACTTCAGTTTTGTCTAAGTATCAAGAGCTTTAAAATAAAATTGATGAAAATAAAATAAAACGCTGCCAAATCCTAAATAAAGGGAAGCCAGCACTAAATCATCGCTGTTTGCGAATATACAAGAATGTTCTATATAAACGACGAATTGAGAAAATAAATTGAATGCAAAATGATGAACCGTCAAAAGCAAAAACGTGGGTCGATCTTTTGCTGCTAAAAAAACGACGCTGACAAAACAAAGCTGGATGGGGTAGTGTGGGTACAGTATCGGCGGAACACCTTCGGCGGGGGGGGGGGGGCATGGGGGGGACACTGCCGACTTTTGTCCTTTGGTCCCATTCTTTCCATGCAAGACTCATAGGGCTAATGTTAAAATGCCTAAATCAAAGGGGGCACGGTGCCCCGGTGTCCTCCCCGTTCCGCCGCCTATGATGGGGTAGGCGGCAGGCGCAAATCGAACGGTTCTCGATCTTCAGTCTTCGGAGCAAACTTAAAAACGCCGATGCGAGATCATTTGATTATTAAATGCGGTCATGGCCCACAATCAGGGGCACGGGCGGGGTTATGACCGTCATAATTCCTATGGGCCTTGCCCTTATGCAAAAAAGACTACCTTTTATCTATTTCCCGCGCCATCGGATCCCTCCATCAGGCGGCAGGCCCATGGATCACAGTACCTACACCTATTGTGTGAGACCATATATGATCCCACTTCCATCCACTCTGGCCCAAAATCGACATTCTGAAAACATCTTTCAACGAGATAAAATGGCCCGCGTGTCATACCGCTATTTACAATTCAAGACGAATTTCTGCCAAACCAATTACAAGCCAGGAAAGAGCATAAAAGTACAATTATTGAACTTTATCCCAGCACCCACTCAGAGATCCAGAACACAATTAACTGTGATGCATCTCCGTATCAGTCTTCGGATCTACCTCTCGCATTCTTCTATGCTTCTCCGCACAATACCTTCAGTCAGACATTTCGGTAAAGAAGTACATGTATTTCACATGGAAATCTTTGTTCGGGTAGCATTTAAACCAGTCCAGAAACAAGGCATCAAGTTTCAACCAGACTCATACGAGGCAAACTGGTCATTATAAAACAAATGTCATGGTAAACAGTAAACACTGCCTGCATAAATCGTCTTTGAGAGCGAATAGCATTGAATATACTCTTATATGTATCACAGAGTTTGTGAAAACTAATATCAAATATTAAACTGACCGACCGTATCACTCTGCGCTGGCTATACTATAGTGTACTAAAGTTATTATCACTTGGCACTGCACCGTCAACCCTTGACGTCCCAACACCTGCAGCCTTCACCACCGACAGAAGCTATCACCACAGCAGACCAGGACAGTCGAGTCCGAGTACCGAGGGCGCCACAAAAGAGGTGAGGCGACAGTCTGTGTTTGTGGTGTACGCAGAGCAGCGCCCGTCCGCCCGGTCCCTGACAGCCGGCGGGGCGGACCGCCAGCGCCACCTAGATGTCGCAGGACGGACCGCCAGCGCCACCTAGCCGTGACGGGTCGACTCGAACGCCACCGGATCGTCGATCTGCTTGCTGTGAACCGACCACAGCTCCTGAGGACGTCAGACAGACACCGTGAGACCACAGACCTCTCGTGGGAAAACCCCGGTCCCACAGTGTCTCAGTGACAAATATCACAACATCAGTTAAATAATGATACCGTAGTTTAATGTATAAATAAACTTCACCATTAGGATAAATGATAACAATAACAAGTCAAATGTATATTTAGACACACAAAGCTTTCGGTACGAAAATACCTTGATCACTGTGCTACAGAAATGAGGACAGATTTTTTTCTGTCCTCATTTCTGTAACACAGTGATCAAGGTATTTTCGTACCGAAAGCTTTGTGTGTCTAAATATACATTTGACTTGTTATTGTTATCATTTATCCTAACTGTCGTGGATAATTTACATTAAACTTCACCATTCTTTAAAAAGGATATTGTTAGTTTCCTGCGTTTATGTGTACCTATAAATTAACTTATTGTTACGGGGCTTTACGCTTGATAGTGCAAGCCCATGATCATGAAATTGACACGACAAACACAGCTCTAAGTATACATGGTTAGGTAAAAATACATCACACAGACACAGACATTCCAAGCATGGGATGCAGAGATTTATGTGCAAGCAATCACTGTTACGATAACTCAAAAGCGGTCATTCAATCGTCATAAGGTAACTGCAAATAAAAGACAGCTAAAACACTACCGGAGCAAACAAATCTAAAAATAAACACACATCAAAGGCATTGACCACGGAACACTAATTGCACTAATAAGAAATAACCCTCAGATTGCCAGGTCAATTGAGCATATTTCCTCAGTCATATCTTGATAACCGTCGTTAGTAAAGAGGAAGCAAGTACGGATATGCAGTTTCGCAACATTCCGCACTTTGTCCACTCTTGAAAGACATCGCCATATCTAACGAACTTCAGAGCAATGTCCAATGGCTCCCACCCCCAATTCATCGCCAATATTTGCTCTTTTATGACGTCACACGGTGACCAAAGCACTATCAGAGCATGAGTCGCTGCCCGGCAACCGACGGCCCCTCCCCACCATGGCGCAATGTAGCCTCCGCTCCCCCTCACATCCTGCCGGGCCAGTTCTATGCGGAAGGAGCCTATCAGTGGCGCCCATCAGCTGACGAGAGGACTGGGTCCTCGGCTGGCCGCCGCAGAGCTATGTGGACGTCATGTCCAGACATAGATCAGACTCGCTCCGGTTTAATGCCGGATCCTTGTGACATCCATGCTGTACGTCGCTTATTCTTATCAGAATTTTGAAGCTAGGGATCATATGTGAAGCTTGCATAAAAAGTAAACATTTTTCTCCGACACGACTGCGATACGCCGATACTTCAAGCGCCGTGGGTAACTAATACGAGGTTAAATAAAATCACATTGTTGTGTTTTCGCTGTCAAACCACTTTATCAGCCGGAATCAGGTGCATCGATGTTACAGTTACACACACGCACGGCACCGATCAGCCTGGCCTTTCGTGTCGGTAACGGGGCCATGCCACAAAACAAAACAGACACTTGCTACCAGACGTTACGAGCAGGCGTGATGGCAAACAAGTCTGGCTGGCTAAGCTAGCGCGAGCTGGGCGGTACATCCTTACTGGTTTAGCTACCAGTCGCCTTGTCACCGTGACCAGACGCCGTGTGACCGTTCCTAGTGGCGTTACCGTGAGCCTTGTCAGAGCTACAGACCTCCTCCTCTATCAACCGCTGGTGGACCTGATGCAGGCTCTGAAAAGGCCGAGCCTCAGCACACATGCACACATACACTACGCAAAACAGGCGGAGCGATGACCCTCAAAGTACATGTCGCAAATATACGACACGCAGAGAAAGGCTGTGTAAAAATTTGTGTCCACACTAAACATAGCACACTTTGTTCATCGATTATATAAAGGATACTGCAGCCAGGAGCCAGTGTCATATTTCAGCGAGTAGTATAAACACGTCTAGGTTATGACCGTCATCTAATGTTCTAACACATCTGGTTTGGAACAGTCGGGGCACCTTGCAACATATCGTAGGCCAAACTTGTTCGACTGCTTGTTATCTACTAAGCGCATTGTGTGTCTGGGGCTTGCTGATTCGCCATCAACTTCCGGGAAAGGGACAGTATTATGCTATATGCGTATGAGCATGCGTCGTCAAAACAAACTTATCCTATTGTCCCTGGTGATAGTATTGAGAGGTCTAGTATGGTGATGCATTGAAGGCTTTTAAGTGATACCAGCAACAGAACATAATGTTCGAAGTTGGGTCGAACTTTGTAGGAACACGACTAAAGTCGGCGAAAACAAAGATGCAATTGTTCATAGTTTCATTCACAAGACATTCCAAATGAAGTGAAAACACATGCCTACAACGCTAGTTGGTAGCCAGCCATCGTAGAAAAAGGAGGATACGATTACCACCAAATTGCTACTTACCTTGAAATACTTGACCGTCTTGACCTTGAGTTCGAGCGTCGCGTCTTCGTCACAAACCATGATAGTTTTCGGATGTTGCTGTGAAAACGGAAGCAGCCGTTAGCACCCGAGAAACACGTAGGCATGTGATGTCATTATTATACCATGAACAGCGCGCGCACCGCTCTTGCATCACGATTCCCAGATGTCTGTCTATCGAGCGATGTCTTATTCCGGCGAGTGGTGCGCAGGACGCTGACGAAACGCAGCCAGAAGGCCTGCGCCCCTTCTGGCAACCGATCGGATCACGTAGAGATTGTTAGTAAGCGCCAGCCTCAGCCAGATACTGATGGCGGGATGCTGCTTTGAACATAATGGGACGGCCGTAAAAAGCAGCCGGGATCTTCTGTATTCCGGTAACGGACTGAAGCCTGAAGGTTTTCGATACAAAACAGAGCGAGTTTGTTTGAAGAGGAGCATACTCTGAGCAGTTTTTTGTGAAGGTATACTCCAGCAAAAATAAACAGAAATATGGCGTGTTTCCCTCAAACTAAACCAAAGGTTGGGAGACGAATGCTCAACGTCAACAGTAGCGTGGTGAGGCAGGCACACGTCTACTCGAAGAATGGGATTCTTTATTACGATAACTCCCACCACGGAAGGCAATTGAACGGTAGTAAAGTAATCTTGATTGAACGCATGGTACCTACGTATTCTTATTATAAGTGCGTATTGATCGCATCACGTGTGGAATAAGCGACACTCGGTAGAGTTACACGTCATAGATACATGCAATATAACTACGAGTACCGTAATATCGTCACAACGTAATGCTATGATATTTACCATAAAACAGATGTGATGAGTTGCATCCACGAGTCCACCATCCACCATCCACAGCCATACATCAGCCAATAACCGCAGAACACGCCCACCTACCCGTTTCGATCGCGAGGTATCATAACGGGCGGTGTGACTGGTCACCATCAACGGAACCCACCTGGAAGGCCGACACCGTCCACATGTGGTTGACGCCCTCCTCTATGGCCTGGTGCAGCGCGTACGCCTTGTGCTGGCCCGTGATCAGGATCAGCACCTGTACGTACGACATCAGAACGACAGGTGTCAGTCGGGAGAGCGACAAGGCACGACAACCAGCGGCGTGCCGGGAAACTGAGGGACATGGCGGGCACCTGATCATCATCTCACCCAATCATCACCTGGGGACTCAGAAGAAGCGAAGGTATGGTAGGGGCTGCCAGACGTGAGTGGGATATGACTGCTAGCAGTACTTACTGGGAAGTTATGGCGAGTCAGAACTAGACGGTTAACAGTCAGCAGAATATAGCGGGTGTAGGGAACAGCATAGCACTCCGCCACCTCCCCAACCGACCCCGTGACCTCCGGTGACCTCCCGACCCGACTGACCTCATTAGCATCCATGACCGTGCCGACGCCGACCGTCAGCGCACGCGTCGGCACCTTGCTGATGTCGTTGTCGAAGAAGCGCGCGTTGGCCTGGATCGTGTCCTGGTTGAGCGTCTTGACGCGCGTGCGGGACACAAGCGACGAGCCGGGCTCGTTGAACGCCACGTGACCGTCGGGACCGATCCCTGCACCGCCGCCAGGCAGGGGAACGCACAGATCAGGTCAGCGGGGATCTTAGAACAGGTCCTCTTTGAGAATGTGAAACAGAGGAAATAGCGAATACACTGGACAGTGGACAAGCTCTATCGAAGCAGATTGGTAAGTGGCGTGACTGGCGAATTCCTGCCTTAATGCTACATGTCCCTGAAAAAGATACCCAGTGTGCAGAAATCCAGTCGAACCAAGGTATTTATCTACCAATTATTATTACTCTTATCTACAGGGTGGAAAGTAATTACGCGAACATACTTTTTCGTCTTATAGCAATGGAAAAAGCGGCGGTGACATGAAAATTTCATCCTTTCATATATTTCTATTTATGTGCGATAGGTACACTGACAAAGGTGTTCAGGCATAATTGACATGAGCATGTCAAGCACTGTTGGCCAAAGCTTAGTCCACGCCTCCTGGAGCTGTCTGGTGAGGCAATCGATGTTGGTGGCTACTAGCAGCTCTTAGACGCTCTCCTGAAGAGTCGCCTGGATATTTTTGATCAAATTGAGGTCTGGGCTATTCCCAGATTGACCATTATATGCCCAGAAGAAGAACAGGTTCTCAAAGCACCAGTCTTGCGTCTTTTTGGCCGTGAGAGGAAGGACTTTATCAATCATGAAGAAGAGTTTCTTTGCGTCGGGCACAAAAGTGCGCTCAATCATTTTGCCCCTTTTGGTGCATTGGTGGATTAGATTAAGAGAGTTGTCTGGAAGGATGTTCCACTAGTTGTATACTTTATTTTTGGTTGCCTTTTTGGTCACTACATGCAATTCTGACACCATCCGGGCGCTCATAACACGCTGATGTGTGTTCCTTTGCCGGATGTTTGAAGGTTGGGACGGGCGGGACGTCGGACGCATCAGCAGCCCCCAACGCGTTGTTCTGCAGGTTTGACGGATGAAATAGCTTTGAAGATGTCTCACCCAACCACAAAGCCAGCTGCCTGTCCTCCTCTGTTCAGGTTTGCCGGTCTTAAGAAAACTTAAATTGCCAATCCTGCTGTTAATTCATGAATTTTGGCCATCTCGATTGTTTGTACGGCTTGATTTTCGAATTTTCACGGATTTATGTATGAATCGTGATATCTTAGATCGGGTACCCGGCCATAGTAAACCATTTCGCCTGTTTTCGGATCGACTGTTGTCGTTTGGTCGCGGAAATGGTGACCACCCATTCGGCGCCTGAATTCGCCGAGGTTTTACTGCCGCCAACGGCTTTGCTTTTTAAGTCCTCTTAAGTTTTATTATGCTTCAACCAAACGTGTAATTGAGTAATGCTGGTGCCGAGACCGTTCAGAGTCCCTTCCGCACCAATCCAGCCAAAATAACCACAAACGCTTTCCCTGGCAACACCAAATTGCGATCTTTGCACATTGTGGTCTTGTGCAGCGTATGGCGTCTGCACCATTCGAAGTCGAGACGTGTTGTAGACCTTCCAAATCATTTTTCAAAGTAAGGTCACTTTTGGTAGATGAGGCGACAACAAACACGACCAATCATGTTCCATGACAGCCCGCGCTCATACAAAATCTCCACTGACGGGCGGAATTGTAAGAAAATACATGTTCGCGTAATTACTTTCCACCCTGTACCTAGTAATATCCCCACTCACCTCCCATGAAGAGCTCGATGCCGCCGGCCTCCGCGATCTTGGCCTCATACCGGGCACACTCTGCCTCTAGGTCAGAGCAGGTGCCATCCAGCAGGTTAACGTTCTCTGGGTGGATGTCAATGTGCTTGAACAGGTGGTTCCACATGTATGAATGATAGCTCTCCGGGTGGTCGCGGGGCAGACCTGCAGAGATGAAGGGAGAGTGTCATGCAGCAAAGCCCGTCTTTTAGTGCAAAATCATGCTGAGCCTCGGTAGGATATTGTAGTTCAAATAAATATAAAGCTAACAGACAGAGCCTGCAAAAAGTACACTAGTAAAGCTGATGTAGGTAAGTTGCACTTTCGTAACTCATAGATCAGCAAAGATCAAGTTCGATATAACAACTACCCATGAATGATGGAGTCAACAGACTAAGTATTTGGTATTCAATCAATGCAGGTAGCCAAACTCAAAATACATTTGATGAATCTACCTTCCAGGAAGCCAAAGCATAAATGGAATAGACCGCATACATACCAACATACTCATCCATGTTAAAGGTCTTGACATACTTGAAGGAAATGTTGCCCTCTTTGTAATGCTCGACAAGTTTCTTGTATGTTCCAGCAGGAGTACCACCTTAAAACAGACATAAAACCTTATAACTAGTCTGCCCTGCCCTGTTCAAAGGTAACATTACGACAGGTACCTACTATTACAACAGGTGCACAACTCGAAAAAAAAATAATATTGGAACTTAACACGTGCAGTGGAAGGGGGGGCGGATTTCGCCCACCCCTCCTGTTTTTCGCTAATAACTCGCGCCGCAAACATAATATTAATGTGAAATTTTGACTACCTGTCCAGAATTGGATCTTCTCGTGCAAGAAATAAGATAATCGGTTCACAACTTTTCTAGTAATAGCGGTGTAAAGTCAAACATTCTGCCGCCGCGGCGGCGCGGCGGTCGGCCCTAGGCGTTACGCGCCGCCTGAATTGTAGACTGGGCCGGGGCGGGACGGTTCCGTCTTTACATGGCGCTCCTTACCACTGATTATATTCGGTTCGTGTCAAATTTTGTGAGAAGACTGAGAAATGTACAGGCAATCATATGGTCAAAGAATTTTGAAAATCGGCCGGTAACAACTTGAGTTATGAGTGTGTAAACACAAAATTGTGATTGCCGCATTTCCCGCGTCGGCCGATCCCGCTTCAGCCGGCGACATCTCACCCTTAGCAGGCTTCTAACTGCCATATTTATTGTTGGATTAACTAGAAATTCACCGTACATATTCACAAATGTATGTTCTTTCGTATAGTGAAAGAAAAAAGAAAATCACCTGGTAACTTTTTGAGTTATTGGCGTGTAAACGCAAAAAGTCGCTCATATGGCACATTTGACCACATTTGACCTCATTTGACCTTGAAGATATTGACCTAGGGTCATGAAATTCACACACAACAGAGTTCCCCAGGGCCCCATCTACTCTCCAAATTTCGTCTTTCTAGCTCCAGTGGGAGCTGAGATCTTAGGGGGGCGACATCCGCCCCCCCCCCCCTTCCACTGGGCGTAGTACCTACTCGCAAGTAACCCTTCCACTGCGCGTGTTAATAGTCAGGCACATTTTGAACAAACAGCTATTGTCAACCCACATTTTATGCAACTGCCTAACTCAAAGGAACATTTGGATATTCCATTACAGGTCACCAATAAAATAAAGATTGCACACGTCATGAGCAAGCAATAAATTACCTACCTGTTGGAAGACCAAGCACAAAGTACCGATCCGGACCAGGGTTAAAATCACGGATACGCTTCACAATATATCGAGCAGACCAATCAGCCACCTGATTAGCATTGTCCAAAATTACCAGACGCATGATGTGTATCCTGTGAAATAATTTGTCAGGTCAAGAATTGGAGTCTCGGTTCACTTTTCGAATTTTACATGTTTGTAGGCTGGTTTTTGGAGCTGAATTCGAATTTAGCAACCATTTGAGCATATAATAAGTAGTTTTGGTGCCTTCGTAGCATGGTACGAAGCTGTCAGAGGCGGTTGGCAGTGCAGTTGGCAGGTACTAGGTACGAATACCCGTCACGACCCCTACTGGTTGACCTGACCTAACCTGACCTGGTCTAAATGCTTAAAGACATCATCTGTGATAAAAACTAACACGATATTCGTGATCAGTACCCCGAAAAAACATAAGCAGCCACACTTTACGACTTTCTAACAAGTCCCGATTTTTCCGACTTTTGGGTCATTGGCCTGATCTGAAAGGTCAACCGATGTCCGATGACCTAGGACCTTAAAATTGGGTAGGCATCGGCTTCCTTTCGTGACGGGCAGCACGCTCGTTTTTTCTGCAAAGCTCTAGCTCGATCAAAGGCCAAACACGAGGGGGGGGGGGTCATACCAACCTACCCCTTGTGCCGTCGAAGGACGCAAAATGGCCTGTGCCGGCGAGCGTTAAAGCATAGATCTAAATCACTTGATTGGTGAAATATTTGCAAGTAAAGGGTGCAGACTTCGGACTTCCACTGGCGTCCAACTGGCGTCTAACTGAGCAGACGTCCAAGTTGGCGTCTAACTTGGCGTCTAACTGTTGGACGGAGACTTCCAAGCTAGAAACGTATAAAGTTAGCTGTCACCAGATAGATGCAGCCGCCGTCCAGCTAGACATGTCTAATACTTAGATGCATCTAGGTAGACGCGAAATGGAGGCCTCCACCCAAACTATTTCAATAATGAAGGGGAGGGTGGGGTAGTTTGGTCAGCAATATAATTTGGTCGCCCCCACCTTTACGACATATGACAAAAGTGAATGAAAAAATTCTAGCCTCAATTCATGTGTTATTGGCGGAACTAATCCATGGAAAATTTTCAAAAATCTCCCCTTCAAAATTTTTTTCCAAATCAATCAAACATTAATTTGATTAGAAAATGGTAACTTTGACTTCTGTTCGAAAAATTGTATAGCATGTAGAATTCGGGCTGAAGAAAAAATTTACATTGTGGTCCCATTGCTTAGGACGCTCAGCGTTTTCAAGAGTAATTTCCCGTATATCCGTAAAACCATAACAACTTTGTAGACAAAACCTTTCACAGTGGCAATGCGGGGTAATTTTGCCGGTGCTAGTGGAGCAGATTTCCCGGTGCTCTCAGGACCGCTATGCTGGAACGGCCGACTTGATAAGGTTGTGTGCCAAGCTGGTTGGGTTTATAGCCGTCGGCAGTGGCATTGCGGCACAGTCTGCCTCCTAGGAGCTCATCAGGACACCGCGCAATGCAACACAACGATGATGCTAGAGATCTGCTCACACCAAACTGATAGTCACATCTACAGCACAGCTCACAATCAACTTGTTTGCAACAACTTGTTTGCAGACATCGGAAGGTTACAAGATGCAAGTATTTGAGACTGAGTTGAGTTCTTTTATAGATTGTTAAGAATTTTAATTGAAAATGGCTGATTACTTCATTACTAGAATAAAAAGTTTATGTTTTTCCCAAACAATGCCATCTCCCTGTTCACTAATTTGAATTATAGGTAAGTTTCATTGTGAAAATATCTATCACAAATAAAATGCAAATTTTTGATTGAGCAGCAGTAGATATACTGTGTATGCATTTAGGAAGCACATTTACAGTTGTGCAGGAAAATGCTGAAATAAGACCTGAGTCAAAATCATTTAAACATAAGTCTGACACCAACTCAACCAACTACCTACCAAGTTAGCCTAAGAATGTGCTAAGAGTCACCATGGTGTAAAGGACACGTCATTGCTGACACTGAAGCTGAGTGCTGACTTGCCCATAACATAAAATCCAGGCCCCAAAATGACACCAGCAAAATTGCCCCACCCCACCGCCGGCCAAATAACCGTCTAGCGAGGCAATTTGGCCGCTTTGCAGACCTTTGTAAAACGTCAAGACTCAAAATCCAGGAATAAGTACTAAGTAGTGGCTCTATCATTTTCATTTTACTGTACAAGAAAGTAAAATGAGTTCTACACCTGCCAGCGCTGAGAGTGCAGAAATATGCTGCCAATTTCAAGCTACACCACTTGCTAAAAAAGCGGCCAAATTACACCACCCTCCCCTATCACAAAACATCAAATGTATAAGCAAAAGGAAGGACAAACCTAAATTTGAAATTCGAATTCTTAAGCTGAAATCAAGGTATATAAAAACAAGCAGGAATCCTCTTCTCAATGCAAAAAGCCCCACACTACTCCTTGTCCAATTGCCAGCAACAGCAACCAAACTGAACCAAACAGCACAAATGAGTGGTGTGAATGACAACGATTGGGCAGGGCACAACTCGACCAGTTTTTGTACCAGCTTGAGTTTTTACCAAGTGTATAAACGTGGGCAGGGTACCTATCTTGTTTCTATCTTGTGCCCGGCGGCTGCACCCACACCGCAGAGGTCACCGATAGAGCTATTGAGGTCAAGTCGAGGTCACGAAGGTCACGAAACACCTCTCAATTTTCAACTTGCTATTTGATTTGAGTGCTGCTCGACTTCGGTCACGTTAACGTGGCAAATAAACTTTATTTGGCAGCACAGATTATTAGCCTAATAGTTTGAGCTTAGCTTGGAAACGCCAATGAATAAATCTTGGCATGAGTTTATAGTAGTTTCCGTTCCATCCAAGGCTTTGTACGTAAGAACGTTAAATCAAATCCCAAATCAATTTAGCTTCACAATCAAATTATTCAATCAAGCAGGCATGAAAATATAAATAAACTCACCAATAAGGAGTATAGCAATAAATAAACATAGAATAGATAAACATCAAAACGATGCTTATTTTTGACAGAAAGTGGCTCAATCGCACAAATATTTCAGAAGCGATCACGCATCAGAACCATGCATCCTGAAACAATCTTGCCTGAAACTGTTGATTCACAAATCAATCGAAATGTTTTCCGAAGCCGGACCAAAGGAAAATGCAGGTAAATGCGTAGTGTCCATAGTAGATAGTGTCGATTTCCTTGGCTACTAACTCTGGTTGCTTTCTTGGCTACTTTCTCTTGATATTGAAATTGACAGCAGCAGTATGAACAGCGCCAAAACTTATTTTGCAACAGCTGCGCCACCAATGTATTGACGGAAATAATTGGGTAGGTGTAGGCCAAGATTTCTTTACTACTCGGTGTAGGCGGTGAAGGTGGGTAGGTATTGGGTAGGTAGGTACATGGGTGTAGTTTTCCAAAAATCATTGGGGGTGCTCAATAGCTTTCAGAAAGGCATGCCATAGTTTTTGTAGTTTTTTTTTTAGCTGTTCTTTTTTACTGTACCCATTAGGCATCATGCAAGAAATGTTGTTAAATCGGTTCGAGAGCTTGTTTTAATAGCGCCTCTGTAAAACAATTTTGGCTCACCCAATGCATTAATCCGCGCGGGGCTGGGGTCTCCAGCCGAACGCGCGGGGCTGGGGGGGGGGAGGGGTAAATTTTACCCCCTGTTATCTCCCGAAGTACCTAATGGTCCGATTTGGAAAATTCAAACGCCAATCGAAAGATCTCATCACGAATAACTAAAAACATGTACTTGATTTAAAGTTTGAGATAAAGGTCAAGGTCAGGTCAAGGGTACAAATTGCAAGTTTCTACAGTATCGGCCTTGCACCGTAGTTGCCGAAAAATGGAGTCATGGACTGAGACTGATTGCCCATAACGTGTTTGGGCCTGACCTTGGCCATACGTTTGGCAGGCCAGATTTTGTACTGGACCATTTTGAGTCAACTTTGAGAAATACATAACGTACAACGGTGGTAAAATCGTTGCTATAGGTATAACACAGTTTACCCGCTCCGGGTGTGAGGGAGGGGTGTGGGGCAATGAGTGCACTGACGTGGCGCCCTCGGAGGGCCGGTATGGGATTAAAGCTCAGCTACACTAAGGGCTTGTGTGGTGCCTTCAGTTATCGGTGGCACCCTCTGCAGAATCACCGGCGTAGGGCCCTCAGAGCCGCCGGGAAGGGAGGCACCGGTGTGGGGCCGCCATGCAGGTGCCGGTGTGGGCGATCAGAGATGCTAGTGTGATTCTCTCAGAGGCGCCGATGAGGGCCCTTACATGCGTTGCTCCGGGCCCTCATAGACGCTGGTGTAGAGACGTTACAGACGGGTGTGGGGCCTTTAGAGCTGCTGACGCGAACCCTCTACAAGCCGGCAGGGGGTTCTCAGTGACCGGCAAAGGGTCCTTAGGCCAGTGTCCCAAAATTGAGTTTTGTCTTGGGTGTCAGAGGGGAAATTTACCCATCAAAAAGAGGGGAGAGAGTGAAAAACTGCTGATTCGATTAGATCAAAAAAAGAGTGAAAAACGACAAAAACATGCATTTTATTCTAAGGTGTAGGATGCTTGATGCTAAACCGGGCATCCACACAACTGCTCTTTCTATAGGTAAAAATCTAGGTTTTCTTGGTTGGGAATGGAAAATTATTCTTAAAAATTGGTGGTGGGAGTGGAAAATGAATTTCATTTGGATGTCGTTTCCCACCCAAGTCGACAAATTTTGGGACATTGCGCTTAGGCCGGCAGAAGAAGTCCTGCTGGGTCCTAAGAGACCGGCATGGTACTGTCAAACGCCGGTGGGGCCATCAGGGTCACCGTTGTGGGGCCCTCAAGTCATCAGTGGGTGGCCTTTAGATGCGCAGGTGTTGGGTGGGTCCTCAGAGCCGCCGATATAGGGGTTTAATAGGCACTGGTGTAGGCACTCGGAGTTGGGGGTGTGAACTGTGAAACCCTCAGAGACACCGGTGTGGGCCCTCATAGGCATCGACGAGGGCCCCATAGTTGCCGTTATGGGGCCCTCAGAAAAATAAGTGTGGGACCATCACAGGTGGGAAATGCCCCTAGAACTGTCCCCTCATATATGGCCGGTAAGACCTCTCAGAGGCCAGTAACGGGCCTTTGGAGACCACCGAGGTGTCCTTAAAAGCCGCAAGAGGCCCTCAGAGGTCGGCGTGGGGCCCTTATGGAGACCTTAGTGTGGCTATTTAGGGCCCATGAGGTGCTCTAACGAGCCCCACGGGGCCCTTCTGAGTAGAAATATGGCAATCGCCCTCAGCGGTCAAATGGCACCGCAGGGCCTCTCGGACCCGAGGGTCCCTTTGAACCCGATGGGGAGGGGAGGGGGTACGTGTCCCCTTAGACACCTAGCTATGCCACTGTTTCATATGCATCATGTCAGGTATTTTAGGCTCACCCCTCCTAACTTGAAAATCGTTCCCGGGCCCCTGATAATATCAGATGTAATGTTAACACAAATATCATGCATCTTAATTTGTGGTGATTTATTCAATGTATATTCTCTTAGCCACTGAACTGAGTAAGCATAGTATTTGCATGATTCACTGGGCTCATTACAGTACTAGGAGATGGACATTCTGATTATTGAGGGCCTTGAGTCAGCTGGGAATGTTTTGAGGAGGCTGGGGGTGCTTTAAGAAGGCAGGGGGTGCTGAGCTCAGGATTGGGGGTGCTTGAGCACCCACAAAGAGATATAAAGTTACGCTTATGGGTAGGTATCAGGGTATATTGAGGGGGTATATTGGGTAGGTATCACGTTATCTGTAAGAATCTTGGTAGTATTAATGTTTGCCAGTGCTCTGGCGAGGAACATGATTGATACAGTTATATGAAAGAAAAACATTGACCTAATTCCTCGAGTCTATACCAAAATTAATGCAAAGCTATCCTTTTATTTACGTGATATTTCGGCCAACAGACCATTATCAAACGAAAGAAAGAACAATGTTTTCTTACTGGGTGTCTTGGCGAAAACGTCAAGTTGACTTTTGGAGGTCACCGAGGTCACCCGGTATATAGGGCCTTGGTCACTACACGGCAGCTGCGTCACCAAGGTTTCAGAACTTCTAGCTCTAGGACATTTTTTTCCAGGGCGTCGCCACAGACCTTCGCTTGAGTCTGGTCGCCAATACCCACATAACCCCAAGTCTGCCTTCCTCGTTGGATTTCGGCCACTTAATTTTACAAACGAGGGATAATAATTAATATTTATTTGAGAAAAAACGAAGGTACTTTCAGAATGCATTAAGGTATCGCACAATCAGCTACAATGCTCATCCTTGAGCTGGTCTGCTCGCAGCTCCTCGGCTCTCAGTGGTTTGATTCCCATCTCAATGACGGTACAAACCGGCCGAGTGCGCGAGGCGAGGTCGATGTCCGCCGTCACTTTTTGGCTTTGCCCTTCTTTCATTGCCTTCTAAGACAAACGGCTCAGTCCATCCACGGACCACGTGTGGTATTTCGGGCCCTGGGCGATGCCGCACCTCGAACTCGGAATCGAGTAGCCTCAATGCATCCCTCGACCCTCGAGAAGTCGTGAGGAGCCCTTGGGTTCCGTTGTGGCCTAGTTAGAGCAGGTATCTGAGAGCGCTGTTGTCTGTGGTCAGTAATCAGTATGAAATTCCGACCGTAGAGGTAGTAAAAGAACTTCTCAAAAACAGCAAAGACGACGGTCAGGCCCTCTTTTACCAGTACGGGCTGCGGCAGCTTAGGCTCAGACGGCGTCAACACCCTGACCCGGCTAGCGTAAGCTATAGGCATGGGCGTCACTATAGGGACACTAGGGACATTGTCCCTAGAAGTTTTGGAAGCATCAAAAACTGCTAGGGATTGTCCCCTAGAACTATTTTGAGCTCCCTTTATTGGGGACTGACACAAAGAACCCGGGACACGATATCGTGTCAACTGTCACGGGTTCTTTGTGTGTCCCCAGTAAAGGGAGCTCCAAATCACGATGTCGATATCGTGTCACGATATCGTGTCCCGAGTTCTTTGTGTGTCCCCAGTAAAGGGAGCTCCAAATCACGATATCGATATCGTGTCCCGGGTTCTTTGTGTGTCCCCAGTAAAGGGAGCTCCAAATACTTCTAGGGACAGTCCCTAGTAGTTTTTGATGCTTCCAAAACTTCTAGGGACAATGTCCCTAGTGTCCCTAGTGGTGGTGACAGTGCTGGAAATGAGGCCGCTTTATGGTCCCGGCGTTTTATTCTCCGGACGGGTTAATCCCGTCCAGCGTTAAGCCTTTCGGGACCCACTGAGGGTCGCGGTTGTTTTCGCCGCTCACCCCAGTCGAGACGCAAAGTTAATAGTCATATGAAGCTTATTTAGGGCCAGCCAAACCAGCCTAGTCTGGATTTACTGTTAAATGTATGCATATAGATGCAAGAAAAAGGTTTTGTGGAATCGATTAATTTCGAAGTCGTACATTCAGAGGCCCCAAATAAACTTCGTGTGACTATCAACTTTGCATCTCGAATGGGCCGAGCGGCGAAAACAACCGCGGCTCTGAGAGGGTCCCGAAAGGCTAAGCGCTAGACGGGGCTAACCCACCCGGAGAATAAAACGCCGGGACCAGAAAGCGGCCTTATTTCCAGCACTGGGTGGTGACGGCTGACGCCCATTAGCTATTATATGTTATAAAACATAGCATGCTGTATAACAAACATATTATGTTGTAAAACATAGTAGTTAACTCACAAAACTGTACAACAAACAAAAAACTAACTTGAGGAACGAGGAATGTTCCCTTAAATATGCAATATGCAAGTAACTACCTGACCTAATAAATGTTCAACCGAAGATATTGATTTTCGCCATAAGCATGTGCACAATCTCAGTGACATGCATAAACCTACTCAAAATCATTTTTGTCGCGGGCTAGTCGCGTTTGGCTCGCTTAGCCTTGGGTTTCGTCTCGGCCGGCACCCGACGCGTCCTCCGAACGCACACACAGCGACAACAGCACTTCAACATGGCAATCAGCAGCTTCAGTGCCAGCAGCAGCACGGCCAGCAAGAAGGCCAGCACGTCCAGCGAGTAGTACTGGAAGAAGTTGAGCTCGGCGCCGACGGAGCGCAGGTGCGGCGCGCCGCCGTGGCGCATGACGTGCTCCACCCAGTGGACGGCCAGGTCACGGGGCGGCACCGGCTGCTCGGCCATCAGCCGCTGCCGGTGGCGGGCCGCCGCCAGCCGCTCGGCCGACAGCGCCGCCGCCATGGCCGAGCGCAGGCTCTCCGCCGTCAGCTCGTCCCAGGAGAGCAGCTCGGCCACGCCCAGAGACACGGCGTTGACGGCGTTGTAGTGATGATCCCCCGAGCCGGGCATGGTGAGTAGTGGTACACCATGGCAGAGCGACTCCAGAACACTGGCGAAGCCGCCGTGAGAGATGAACAGCCGGCACTTGCTGCTGCCGAGAATGTCCTGCTGCGGCAGCCACTTGGAGGGGAGGATGTTGGCGGGCAGGCCGATGCGGTCCGTGGTGTCCCACTTGAGTAGCACTTTGTAAGGCAGAGAGCCAAGCGCGGCAAGAATGGCCGCCTTCTGCTCTGGGGACATGTCCCGAGGCTGCATTATTGAGCCCAAACTGAAGAAGACAAACTCTGAATCACCCAGAAAGTCGGCCAACTCTTTGGGCAGCGGTTTGGGCTTCAGGCAGTGCATGCCTCCCACCTGGATTGTGTTTGGCAACAAGGGCTTGTGATAGTGAACAGCAGGGTTGCTGCTCAACAGGACGAGGCTGGCGTTCTTCTCAATCTCTAGAGCCGGAGGGATGACACCATCTCCGAACTTCTCTGCAATCAGCCGGTCGCAATAGGGGGCAAACACCATCTTTCCCAGCGAAAGCACGACAATATGGGCTATGACATTCTTGACACGGGCAAAGAAGCCCATCGTCTCCGACACGTGCAGCAGCGGTAACGGGTGTAGTGCAGGAAGATTTGGATTTCCCACTGGATTTGTTTGCAAAGGCATATGTGCCATAGGTGTCAACAGGATGAACGGCTTTTTCATGAGATAGGGTACGAAGTAAACTGGATAGCCGAACACTCCGCAGATGACGACATCGAATTCCTCTTGGATCAGCTCATCCAGTTCCTTGCTGGCAAGGGCGGCTTTAGGGCCATCGACAAACATGAAACGGAACTGGCTGATACCAGCATAAAACGCTCCTTCTTTGTTCATTTTGAACACGTTGGGAAAGTTCTCGTCCGAGAACACCTTGGCCAGTTCCTCGGGAACGACCTCACGGACGCCCTTCACCGGTGTCGAGGGCTTGAACGCATTGAAGAACACGACTTCATGTCCCCGTTCCACGAGTCCTTTGGCCAGTCCGTAGAAGAGCTGCTTCTGGGACTTGCCGCCGAGGGGAGCCATCATGAGCACGCGGCCTGCCTCGGCAGCCGCCACAGCTAGAACCAGCGGCACTAGGAGCCGCGTCTGAGGAGATATCTGCAACGGCAGGAAACAGCGCAGTGTTAGACGTGTTCAGAGGCCAGGGTTCATTGTAATTATTGCGAGTAGGTAATTGAATTTTTGAGCATCGTGGACGTGAAAACGGTCCTTGCAGAAGACGCTTTTTTGGGACAACAAGCGAACGAGCGCCATTGTAAAGTGCGCACGTTCACAAGTGTGACGTGTAACCCAATCCCCGTCTGTCTTGTGCGGGCCACCCTTCTTTCCTACCTTTCTATTGGATATGTCCCTAGTTAGAATGCATCACTGATTGTCTTTCACCCGCGCCCCGCAGAAGTATTAATTAAGCCACACGCGCCCTGCTGGAGGGGGGGGGGGGGGAGACTCTGCCCCCTGTCTAACTTACGAACGGATGGTGCTGTAGTAGCTGAGCTCGCTACGGTCACATCTGAGCAGAAGCGTGCGGATGGCCATCTTAGGCCGCCTCAAGTGACAACGGAGCTGGGTAGAAAGTCGATCCGCCACAGAGCTAAGAGCAACGGTTACCTGGAACCAGATACCGGTGTACGTTCGCTGTCTCCCTCTGTGGCGGAGCTCAACATCTTTGAATCACGCAGTAAATATCTCACCTCGCATCCCTAGCGCTAACACATCGATCGGCAAATACTGAATCACAATTCGTTGGAAAGTTGGGAGATGGCAGTTTATTTAAGGCAACATTTCAGTCGACATAGTCTTCCAATTCATTCAATCATCACCGTCGCTAAGTACCTATCTACAGCACATACATATATTCAAAATATGATATCGATTTACCTGTAGGATGTGCTCCATCATTCCATGCAAAACTCCTGCATATAGCGCGCAGCCCTCATTGAAACCCAAGACCTAGCGCCTTCTTCCGCCTTCACGCAATGCATTCAAGTCTAGAAAGACTCTCGAGTCTGGGTTATTAATTTGCGCACATAGTAGGTAAGTGTAGGAACATCTTATCTTCCCCCTCACACACAAACACAGGAAATTCACGCGGCACGCGCATAGAAGTGGAAATGCAACTTCTTGTCTTGACCCTGTGAATTACCCTGGTCATTCTTTCAAAGGAACAAATGTTCAACCGAAGACAGCGGTTTCCACAACAGCATCTGCATAAAATCCATGCATATACCTACTCAGCATTACTTTTGTCGCGGGCTAGTCGCGTTTGGCTCGCTTAGCCTTGGGTTTCGTCTCGGCGGGCACCCGACGCGTCCTCCGAACGCACACACAGCGACAACAGCACTTCAGCATGGCAATCAGCAGCTTCAGCGCCAGCAGCAGCACGGCCAGCAAGAAGGCCAGCACGTCCAGCGAGTAGTACTGGAAGAAGTTGAGCTCGGCGCCGACGGAGCGCAGGTGCGGCGCGCCGCCGTGGCGCATGACGTGCTCCACCCAGTGGACGGCCAGGTCACGGGGCGGCACCGGCTGCTCGGCCATCAGCCGCTGCCGGTGGCGGGCCGCCGCCAGCCGCTCGGCCGACAGCGCCGCCGCCATGGCCGAGCGCAGGCTCTCCGCCGTCAGCTCGTCCCAGGAGAGCAGCTCGGCCACGCCCAGAGACACGGCGTTGACGGCATTGAACTGCTGGTCCCCCGAGCCGGGCATGGTGACCAGCGGTACTCCATGACAGAGCGACTCCAGAACACTCGCGAAGCCGCCGTGCGAGATGAACAGCCGACACTTGCTGCTGCCGAGAATGTCCTGCTGCGGCAGCCACTTGGAGGGGAGGATGTTGGCAGGCAGGCCGGTGCGGTCCGTGGTGTCCCACTTGAGTAGCACTTTGTAAGGCAAAGAGCCAAGCGCGGCAAGGATGGCCGCCTTCTGCTCCGGGGACATGTCCTGAGGCTTCACTACTGAGCCCAAACTGAAGTAGACAAACTCGGAATCGCCCAGGAAATCAGTCAGCCCTTTGGGAAGCGGCTTGGGCTTCATACAGTGCATGCCTCCCACCTGGATTGTGTTCGGCAACAAGGGCTGGTGATAATGTACGGCAGGGTTGCTGCTCAACAGGACGAGGCTGGCGTTCTTCTCAATCTCTAAAGCCGGAGGGATGACACCATCTCCGAACTTGTCTGCAACCAGCCGGTCACAGAAGGGGGCAAACACCATCTTTCCCAGCGAAAGCATGACGATATGGGCTATGACATTCTTGACGCGGGTAAAGAAGCCCATCTCTGGCGTCACTGGTAGAAGAGGCAACGGATGTAGGGAAGGGATTGTCGGATTCCCCACGGTACTTGTTTGCGGAGGCATGTATGACACAGCTGTCAGTAGAATAAACGGCTTCTGCATGAGATAGGGCAGAGGTGGAACTTTTTGTTTTTCATTGGGGTTGTAGTTTGCCGGAGCCCAGGGTATACCCCCACCAAAACCCGAAAAGTCCCCGGATTCGGCCCACTATTTTTCGGGAGGGGCCCACATTTTCATTTACAAAAAAGTGGTCCATCTCCAGGGAGAGACGGCTGACCCTGTCGTCCCTCCATTGGCTATGTGCCTGGTTGTAGGTACTCGGGTATCGCCAGTCGCCACCATGGTCGTGGCCATAGGCGGCGGAACGGGGAGGGCACCGGGAACCGTGCCCCCTTTGATTTTGGCATTTTAACATTAGCCCTATGGGCGTTGCATGGAAAGAATGGGATCAAAAGTCGACAGTGCCCCCCTTAATTGAGGGTGTTCCGCCGCTAGGTACTGGTCGTGGCGATTCGGAAACGGTAGGTAAACGCCCAAAATCACAGTCCCTATGAATACTTGTTTCTTTCCACATTTGACACAAACATTACTCAGTATTGGAGCAGGGCTCTTTCCCTACGAGTAACAATTTAAGCCACTCGTGGCAATTGACAACGAAGACCTAAACAGGAATACGTTATTTTTAGACTAAAAAACTTAAAACGAGTCCATCTTTGTATATTAATGCCACTGTCGTCTGGAATACGTCTATTACGGAAACGGGTAGTATAAACCGGAATAGTGACTGATCAGACATGAGATATTTTCCAAACGAGGACAACATACCGAACACAATGCCGCAAAGGAACATAACACTGGATCTAAATTATCTCAACCTGAGGAAACTAAATAATAAATGCCACTGCCTTTTCATATCACCGAATACTTCAATTAACTAGATGATCTTCTTTTTTTTCAACGAGCAAATGTATTATGCATTGTTTGGCGAATCGTAAACAAAACGCATACTCTTCACAGCCACGATGGCTAGGAACACATAGCGGCTTGTTTGTCTGCCCCTGAGACACTGAACGTACACCGATTTTCAGCTAAATCGAAAGACCCCGCCGTTTACCGTTAAAATGTTAGTTGGCCGTTAATTCGTTAACGGTGCAAAATACCACCCCAAAGAGGTACATTTTCGGAATAAGCGCATCGAGGAGGCCCTGTACACCGATTTTCAGCCAAATCGAAAGACCCCGTCGTTTCCCGTTAAAATGTTGATTGGCCGTTTACTCGTTAACGGTGCAAAATACCACCCCAAAGAGGTACATTTTCGGAATCAGCGCATCGAGGAGGCCCTGTATACCGATTTTCAGCTAAATCGAAAGACCCCGCCGTTTCCCATTAAAATGTTAATTGGTCGTTAACTCGATAACGTTGCAAAATACTACCTCAAAGAAGTACATTTTCGGAATCAGCGCATCAAACAGGCCCTGTATACCAATTTTCAGCTAAATCGAAAGACCCCGCCGTTTCCGGTTAAAATGTTAATTAGCCGTTAACTCGTTAACGGTGCAAAATACTGCCCCCAAAAAAGGTACATTTTCGGAATCAGCGGATCAAGGAGGCCCTGTATACCGATTTTCAGCTAAATCGAAAGAACCCGCCGTTTCCCATTAAAATGTTAATTGGTCGTTAACTCGGTTACGGTGCAAAATACCACCCCAAAAAGGTACATTTTCGGAATCAGCGCATCGAGGAGGCCCTGTACACCGATTTTCAGCTAAATCGAAAGACCCCGCCGTTTCCCGTTAAAATGTTAATTGGTCATTAACTTGTTAACGGTGCAAAATACCACCCCAAAGAGGCATATTTTCGGAATCAGCGCATCGAGGAGGCCCTGGATACCGATTTTCAGCCAAATCGAAAGACCCCGAAATATGCTGCTGTGAGGCTGATATTCGTTGCTGCTGATTTGACAGACGTCGCCAAAACCTTGCATTTGTATCAAATGCGTCATGCTGGCTTACATGTGACTTAGTTTGCATGATGCATCGTTTGCATTCTGTTCGCGAACCTGTCAGTAAGATTATCAGCACTAATTATCGCACAGGATTGGTTTTTACTTTTTATGGTCGTCAACGTTGATTTCAAGTGTCGTCATTTTAGCCAAATATTCGTGCTGATTGGTGGTATTGTGCCAACTGACAAAATTGCGAACAGAGTGATATTTCACTTAAGAAATGTATTTGATATTATGATTATGGTGATTGAATGCTACATAGGGTGGAGGCTTAGGTTAATTTATTTCTGAAGCTTACTGTTTTGTGTCAAACTTTTCATCTATGCTTATCTCAGCCCACGGGTATGAAATATTTAGTGAGAAAACCCAAAAGTACAGTGGCGGATCAGGATCCAGGGGGGGGGGGGGCAGGGACCGCGGATTCAAATTCTCGTAGGGTGTGCAAGATGTGGCGACTGGGCCCCCCATCTCACGCCGGGCCCCTTCCAAAAAGTCAGCGCCGCCACTGCTCCGGAATAAGCCGGTTCTAAGGAAGCGGGGCGGGAAAACCTTCAAAATTGACGGTCGTAAGATGACTGAGCGAGCATCTTACGGTCAGGAGATGCATGAGCAGAGTAAATGCACATGCATGCATGCAACGTGATCCAAATCGATCTCCGATTTTACCAAGCAGGCCCCTAAAGGCTTACAGTGACCTTCAAGGGCCCCTACGGGCCTCAGAGAGACCTTTTGCACAGTTGATGTTGGCACACTTCTTTTTATCATGGATTACATGAATTAGTTTAAAAATAAAACACGGCCGGCGGGATGTTTGGGCCCATCGATTTGGCCCCTATGACCTATGGGGGTCTGGCCTCCGGCCCCCTTAGCTTCCCCATTGCTCTACGGTCCACACGCTGGCTTTGGGGCCCCATAAAGGCCGCACGCCAGCTCCTAAGACCCAACGCCGGCAATTCTAAGGGTCACCGGCGCACCGCACACGGTCTTTGAAGGTCCCATAACGGCCTCTGGAATACCTCATGTACATAGAACTAGATGCCGGCAGCGCTCTTGCGTTGCCTTGGGCCAGAATTGGAGGAACGGTGCTGAGGGCACACACCGGGCAAAACCACCGAAACCCAGAGTGAGCTTGGACTGAACCTGAAACCAACCGAAACATCCCAAAAAGCACGCGAGATTGGTGTGGATATCTACCTACAGTAAGATATGAATTAACTGCACGTGCATAGTTCATGCCCCAGGCACCCCAGTGCAGTCATTTTCATGATATCATGTAGCGTGTGCCTAGTTCTATCAGTGTACCGACTTTTGTGTCGCTAGATCGACGTTTCCCGGGATCAGAGGATCCCTCGTCAAAACCGTTATCCGCCCCCCGCACGCGCAGCTTGCACCCCTCGGATATTATCTCGCCGGAATGTCGTGATCAAATGTATTCTTCTTATGACCTGCAAGTTTTGAGCCAGTTAGAGCTGCCGTTTACCCTGCAGGCGTGGCAACGTACGAAGGGGTGCAATCGGCTTGCTTCATGCACCACAGAGTTTAGCTCAACCAAATGTGCATTATTTTGGAGGCCTTGCCTGGGACTACCATTGAACCGATTTTGAGGTTGATAGCTTAAAATTTCTTTGAGCCAGAGGACCTCACGTCAAAACGGTTTTCCGCCCCCAGCACGTGCAGCCTGCACCCCTAGCAGACGGTGACCCCACTGGAAACTGGTTCAAGGTGTTACCGATGTGTCCCGCCAGTATGGCTTTGCCCGTGACCTCGGGTTGACCTGTAGTCTTGACAAAAAATTTCGTGTCACCGAAACTTTGAAGCGGAATAGCATGTGCCACGAAGCACCGAGCGAACCGAGGCCAGCACCAAAAGTTTACCTCGCCGGAGACGAATCAAACGGTCCCACTTTCGTCCCGATCGGTCCACCCATTCTGACTCCAGGTCCAAAAAAGCTTGGACAAACTCACATACTCACTCACTGACAAACAGGTTCAGCCGAACTTTTTTCAGCGACCCACCAATGGGAATTTCCGGATGCAAAAGCATGCTATCGCATGCTTTTGATCCTCCAATTCTGGAATATGGATGCCCACGCCGCTTCTTGGGCCCCCACACCGGGCTCTTGGACACCGTTCGCCGGCTCCATGGGGTACCAACTACTACCAAGCAAGCTCGCCTGGAGGTCCCCCACCGTCTCTTGGCGCCCGAGTAGCCTCGATGCCTGAATAGGGCCCCGAGACATCGACCTTGGCCAAAAAGCGTTCGTGTAGGCCCTCAGAAACTGGTGTGAGCCCTGAGATTACGTAATCTCAGGGCTCACAGCCCACACAGTATCCGAAGGTTGGGACTTTTCAATTAGACAATCACTATTCTTTAGAATTGTGATTTTCTATTGAAAATCCCAACCTGAGCTACCTCTCTAGGGGGGTGTTTAGCGTTTCTGCCGCGATTTGGGTCATTTTGAATCCCTCAAAAACGGCACGGTAGAATTTCTTGCCATTTTCAGCGTTTGGTCCCGTATCGGGGAGCTACCGGCTGGCATCGGTCGCTTGAAATATAATTAACCCGTTTTGGGGTAATCGGCACGTGCATTTTCCCATAGGGTTAACATGGGGGAAAATTGGAAATTCGATTTGCGAAAAATTTCGTCAATTATATTTGCTGATATTTTTAGGGTCGGATCTCGGGCTGGCACCCCAACTGACGGTGGTAATTATTTAAAATATAATTGACAAAATTTCGGGTAATCGTCACAAACAGTTACCCCATGTTGAGCCTATGGCGAATTCGAAAAATTATTTTCAAATCGATTTTGCAAAAAATTTCCACGTTAGATTTTGAAAATGTTCCAATATGTTGTGCCCCGGGGTGTCGGCTACCACATGGTATGGGTCAGATATGGGGCGATTGAAAAGCACGTGCCACGTGCAAACGTGTTTGATGGGGTAACCTCCGGGAAAATCCGACATTGGCCTATTTGGGGTTCTATGGCGCGGAAACGACTTCAGCTAGCGACACCAAATCAGTGCAGCCGGTGAGCAGATGAGTCCAGCTTGTCGCACTAGTGGTCACGTGGCGCACGTGCTATTGCACGTGCCGTGGCACGGGGTCAGTTTTGGTGCTTAAATATACTAGCATTGTGA